GAGGAGCTGGAGGAAGTGTCTGGAGAGAGGGAAGTCTGGGCATCTTTGCTTAGACTGCTGCCCCCGCGACCCGGTTCCGGATAAGCGGAGGAAAATGGATGGATGGTGCAATATTTAATAACACTGACATATAGACAGTAAATGTAATACTCTCCTCAATGAAAACAAGTTGGAGTCTTAAGCTCTTTTTAACATTACTGGCTTCGTCTGTCTGTTAAAGCAACAGCTTTCTGTCCTTCAGACATACTGTATGCCACTTTTATGTTCATGTTTCTCATGGCTTCATTCAATCATACCCACAACCCTGGAGAGAAAGAGCACCACGGAGAGAACAATGGTATGTTGTCACCTTCTGTGTGCCTAGGCACTGCATGACATTCAGACTTGTGCTATATTGAAAATGATAAGTAAATGTTAATAGATTGCAACTTTTACGGAAAAGTGACCAGAGTGTACATTAAGATATGAAGCTGATACATTTGCTACTCTCAGATGCCGTCACATTAATGGAAAGAAGTGGATGGCGACAGCGGCTTCACTCTTTTATTAAAAACTCATTTACTCTTTAAGGTTGTGACACATTTTCTGTTGTGCCGTATACAAGGGAGTGACAGATTAGTCTTTGTTTTGTGTTACATTGCTATATCTGTTTGTACAACTGCCAAGTAAGTGAAATCATGCCATCCAACATAAACCCAAATGTGTGAAGCTTTAGTCTGGTCATTCAACAAAACCACATTACACCCAATTATATTTACCGTCCAGCTCCCCTGCATCCTCAGGCAGCAGCTCTACCACCAGCTCGCCATCCTCCTCTCCCTCAGCCAGCCAGCGCGAACAGGGGAAATGGTAAGTCAGCACCACTTCCTGCATCTCCTCTCCTCCTTCTTCCTTCTCATCTTCCTCCTCTTTCTTCTTTTTCTTCTTCTTCTTCTTGTCTTCCTTCTTCTCCTTGGGCACTAAGGTCATGATTAGGTGTTTGACATCCACTGACTCCAGGAACCAGCCAGATCCAATCCCTGAGCCATTGTGACCGATGCGGATCTTGAAGATCTTCCCCACATCTTTGGCCTCTATCTGAAGAACAGTTAAATATCTCGACTCAAAATGCAACATGTGGACAATAACTGTATTCACATTTAATGACTGACATGCATTTTTGAGCCTATGAAAGCATGAAATCCGGCTTAGATACCTTGAATATCTCTGTGGAGTTCCGCTCAAAGTTGCTGGATCTGCTTTTAAGCATGATAACCTCTGTCTTCCCCTTGTCCCCGTAGATCTGGGTGAACACATTGGCACCAGTGCCAGCAAATATAACATCTCCAGTCACACAGGTGACTTCATAGTTGATCACTGAAAAATAAAAAGGTCAAAGGATTTTTGGTCAGTAGAGGCTTTAACATTCTCTATGCATTGTACGTGCATGTATGGACTATGTATAAGGACATGCATAAGAAAAGTACATGTTTATACAGTACTGTACATAAGAATAAGAATATACAAGAACTTTCAAAACTGTCCTGTGAAAGAAAAAAAAATAGGGAGTCATTGTAAGAATACCCTACATATTTTGGCAGTGCGTTTTAGGAAAATGTAACTCAAGTAAATCAGTCTTTGAAATAATGCTTATATTCTATGTTTTGATTAAAATAACTGAGATTTTAAAATGCATTGTACTGATAGTGCTTTCTAAATGCCTGGAAAACTACAGAATTAGTCTTGAGATACAAGTCCAATTACAAAACGTCACCATGCCAGCATGAATATACTGTGTGCACTATACTGTATATGCAGTTTCTTTTAATGGTGTGTAAATTTCACCTACGCTGTTCGATATCCAGGATCTCGCTGGGGTAAATCTGCACCTCCGTCTTGCCATCAGCCTCATCTTTGCTAAGCCAGCGGTGACTGGGGAACATGTAATGCTTTCCATGGAGTGGAACCATGATCTGAACACTGTCCAAGAACCAGCCAGCACGCATGCCTTTGTTGGTGTGGCCAATCATAAGACGGTTGATCTGGGAACAAGATTAAATGGAAAACACCATTTGAATTTTGTATCTTTAAAATTGTATCATACCATATATTTTGATACAAATCAACAAAAGTAGATATGCTAATCATAAAACAATGTTTGTTTTGTAAAAATACAGTATATCACAGAAGTGAGTACACCCCCTCACATTTTGTAAATATTTAAGTATATCTTTTCATGTGACAACACTGAAGAAATGACACTTGGCTACAATGTAAAGTAGTGAGTCTACAGCTTGTATAACAGTGTAAATGTGCTGTCCCCTCAAAATAACGCAACACACAGCCATTAATGTCTAAACTGCTGGCAACAAAAGTGAGTACACCCCTAAGTGATAATGGCCAAATGGGGCCCAA